TTTTATTAGTTTTATGGGCCTCTGAAGTGTTGTCATATACTGGAAAAAAGGACTGGAATAAAATGTGTGAATTGTAGACTGCTCAAGGGAAGTAAGCTACCAAGTTCGTCCACATCCAGATATTAAGCAGATTCCCTCTCTAATCCTTGTTCTTCTGTTCAAATGTCTGATTCTGCAACCCTGTTTTATACCCCTTTCCTCTTAGATCTTTCTTGCAATATAGGGTAATTATTCTTTACTTTCATAGAAACTAATTTCTTATCTGAACACCCTAGAAGCCATCAGAGATGATAGAAAATGGATTACAACCCTGTTTATTCCTCTTGTTCCTGAGTTGTTTTTTAAAAGATCTTCCTCAGTTTAGAGTTTACGTTACACTCATTATAGAAGGAATTGGTAATTGTGACAAGATATCCAACATACATAAAGGATTCTGTTTGTTTTAAAATGCCTCATCTGCCAGATTGATTAATAATGCAAATTATAAAATCCCATTGTTCATGGAAGAATTTAATGAATTTAATTTGTATAGGCCTTAATATGTATAGGAACTATTTTTTGGATGAATCTTCTTTTCAAAAAAGATTGTGTTACGTGTGTGTACGCACGTATGTGATAGTTTCTCTGAAAACAGAATGTGACCATAGGCAGATGTAAGATCAGACTATTAAAGCATCAGTGGCAGAAGGTTCTATTGTACAAATCTGTCTTAAGAATCTTTCAAGTATGATTAACACACATACAACTGCATTTGGTGTTCAATTGCTTATTATGTAATACCAGAAGGATGTTCTATGTCATAACTTGTTTGACTATATCTATAATTAAAGGAAGTACATCTACTATTAAACTGTTTTATAATTTGTTCATATCTTAAACTTCTTTCATAGAACACTCTTTTTTTAATTAAATCATGTAACTTCAATAACTACAAGTCCCAGGACAAAAATGAAAATATTAAATCTTGACACATGAGAATAGCCTTCCTTCTCATTGGAACCACTTTAATATTTAATTATCAGTCATTGAGTTAAGCCCCAATTAGCATTTAAACTAGAAATTGAATTTTCTATAACCACAAGTTTAAATAATCACATTTTAACATTGTCTTTTCATCAATATCAAAAAGGCATTATTTTTTTTATCTCAGGAAGAAAACATTTTACCCTTAAGGTATAAAGTGAATCATTTTACTAATAATTAAAATGGCAGACAAACACTAAAAATTTTCTGCTCTTATAAATATATGCTAGCTTTTGTTGGAGATCTTTTTACCCAGAATACTTAACTATAATTCCCATTTCTGTTTGCTCTTCAAAACAATTCCTTTTTTTACCTACTGTTATATGATTAAAAAATCCAAATAATTTGTTATATTAATACTACAAAGCAATAATTATTTGATATTACTAATTCATAAATTCTTATAATCTGTGTAGCTGATATTTTTATATCCTATAGATCACTTACTCATTTCTTAGAATTTATGTATTGAACATCAACAATATGCCAACTACTGTTCTAGGCACTAGGGGGTACAGCACAAAGGAGGCAAGACAATAAACAAATAGGTGTATCATATGTTGGATGATGGCAGTACATACAGTAATAAAGCAATAACGCATGTTAAGGAAGATGCCTGTGGGGATGGGAGATGGCACCTTTACATCTTCTGGTTAGAGATAAACTCATTAATCCTGAGTCATGCCAGTAGAGATGAAAGTGGGTGAGAAAGCTATATGTGTGAACAGGGGAAGAGCTACTAAGCAATACAGGCAGCACATGCAAAGGCCCAGAGGCAGAGCATGCTTCCCTTGTTTGGGACCAGCGAGGAGGCCAACATGGCTGGAGTGGAGTGACTTGCCATAGGGAGATAGAGGAGATGAGAGTGTGAGCATGGGGAAGAGGGTTCATACAAGTCTTTGTAGACCAGAGTCAGGGCTTTGGCCTTTGCATTGAGGGATACGACGCATGCATGAGAAGGGCTCACAGTGGTGTATTGCCAAGACTAGAGGAGAGAAGGGAGTCCAAAGATGCCGCAGCCATAGTCGGGGGAGAGCTGACAATGGTTGGAGCCAAAGCAGCAGCAGCAGACATGGTGAGGGTCAAGTTCTGGGTCTGTTTTGAAGGTATCTGAGCTTTTAAAGATACTGTTTCAAATCTCTATTACCCAGAGTTTACTAGATAGATGTTCATAAAGTATAACTGGTTTGCTTCTTGAAACGCTTCTGCAAGTACATACAAATATTGTAATGTATGAAGGAGCAAATTTTAGGACTTTGTTGTGGTCTTTTTTTAATTGAATCACTGATCCAGTGTAGGCATTTTAAATTCTATTGATACTTAAACCCTCCACCCTGTATAAGTAATACAGAAAATGTCTGAATGAAGTAAGCATATCTAAAATAGTTCCACCATTACTGCTTCTCACATACAGCATGCATTTTTACATAGGGCTTTTTTTAAATGTATTATTTTCTGTGAAAACGTAGGGGAAAGAGAATAAGGCATGGGCACCAAGAACCTTGGCTTTGGAAGGTAAGACACCTAGGTTCAAGTACAGGCTCTGCACTGACCAGTTGTATGACCTTGGGAAAGTCTCCTAACCTCTCTGAGCCCAGAGAAAGGATTGCTCTGAACACGTATGTTGCTATGCATAAAAATAGCACAGTGCAGGCACATGTTTAGAATTTTGCTGTTGATAATTCCTGTGTTTTAATAACGACCGTGACAAGCATGGTCATGGCCCTTGGTGACACAGGAGGTATTTGCCTTCGTTGGGAAGAATTTTCAAAAGGAGCTGTTAACTTTTAGATTTTATTTCAACAAAGTTCCCATTTATTTTCAGTCATTAGATAGGAAAGCCACTTTATAAACCCATATCTAGTACAGTACATATCTAGTACAGTATCTAGAATAAGGGCAAGCCCAAAATATTAACTGTTGTATTTAACCTGTCACATGTGTGCCTAATTAAATAATTAACTCAGTAAAACCATGGCCCTTCTCTGTGTCTGCCTTTATCTGGTGAACTTCCCCTGACTTACCTTTCTCAACTGAACCCCTGGCTCCATCCAGACAGGTAGGCAACGTGCCCCAGGGACATTTAACATGACGAGTTGACAGTCGAAGCAAATGGTAAAATTCATTCAGTTACAACCATGTGGCATCTCTCAAAAAGCAAAGTCCCAAAGGACCATGTCCATCATCAGAACAAAAAAGAGAAGCTCTTTGCTACTTTTCATCAGATTTGCATAGGGGTATTTAATGAAAAAGCCACCGACAACTATTTGGTACTAGTTTTTGTGCTGTCTGTGTTACAATCAGTTACAGTTTTTTCCTGAATGCTCAAATTTGTGATTTATGTAGAACTCTGCAGTTGAACCTTTGTGATTATTGTCAATATTTATTCTTTCTTTGGCTATATCCAGGTTTTGTGACTCTGAAGTGATATGTAAAAAAAATCTATTATCAAATTATTATAAAATATTGGGGTCAGCTTATAGTTCATTGCTTTTTAATTTATAGATCAGACTTTCTTTTACCTTTCCTAAAAATGTTTGAAATACCAGTATTTTGCCATTAGTTTTTCTGCAGTTAACATTTAAAATGCCTTCTGATGGAATAAATGTGATGCCATGTTATTCTGACTAGGAATTAAATAGTCAATGTTTCCCTATTTAGTAATGAAATGTAATTGTAAATAATATTTTCAAAGCATAAATCCAGCAACATGTGAGTTTATGAGATAACAAAGTATTTACTACATATAGGGGAAAAATTCTCAGACTTACTGCTTTGACATAATAAAAGGTCTTTATGTCCGTATGATTCAGGTATAACTTTAAAATTAATTTCTTTTATCCTAACTGACAAGTTTACAAGCATCAAAATATATGTACACATTCATATGCATATGCAGATATGTAAAATCAGTAGGGACAGCAAACAAAAATCTAGTTGGGAAAGTTATTTTAAACATTCATTTTTCTTTGTTTTTCATAATCCTCATTTCTACCCACTTTATATGTAAACATTAAAAATTAGTTGGAATGATAAATATATGCCTTTGGGAATTAAAATACAATCTTTAGAAAAATAAGCTAATAGGGGAAGCAAATGATTGGTGTTAATTACCAAATATAGAAGATGTTAACATTTTGAAATGAATATGAGATGAATACATCTTTTTCTGTGTTACCAATTAAAATTCCTATATTCAAAATTTAAGTGATTGCTATATAAACAGCTACTTAAATTGATACAGAATAAATTCTAAATCCTTACTCTTTAGACATATTTTCAATAGATGACATATGCAGTCTTCATAGCTACTTTTAAAAATCCTTCGGCAAACATGCCTTGATTCCATAGAGATATTTGGTTGAGCACAGAAATCATGAAACATAGCTAGTCTTCTCTATATGTTTTTATTCAAATAGTTAGTTTGTATATACCATATTTTTTTTAAAAGCAGTAAACCACTATATGTATCCAAAATTCTGTGTTTCTTACAACAATTAAAATTAAATCTCCAACTTCAAATATGACTAATTTTTACTTGGAAGAGAAGCAGTTAAGACATTTTAGCTTGCTCGGTATATTTTTTTATGATATTTCCATTCAGGGGATATTTATTTAATTGGTCAAATGTTTGGTACTACTATAAAACACTTTTCACTGCCATTCTCAAGGACTAGTCATTGTTTTCTGTAGATCTGGAAAATATTTATTGTAATCCTTTACCTTGAAGGCTGTATAAAAGAGAATAGTTCCATTCCATTCATTGTAGGTCAAAAAATAAAGCAAATGGCTACAAATATCTCCCATAAATTTCTACCATAGACAGAAGTAAGATATTTACTTTGGACCAGTATGCATTTTTCTTAATTTATTTGGATGTTTCAGAGAAACACATATATGTATAAGAGAAAGAGAAAGAAAATGTAAAAGTAAACATTCTATCAGTACAGATTACTGATTCTGATTTTTTTTTCCAGGCCTGATGGAATTGGAACTGTTTCAATGGAAGAAAAAGAGAGATTTGAGGAGATAAAAGAAAGACTCTCTTCCCTTTTAGAAAATCAGATAAGCCATTTCAGGTATACATTCATTTTATAATACTGTAATATATATTATTGTGTAATACTACACACACACACACACACACACATTATATATATATACACATATGTATTGCAATACTATAATACAAGTATTTCCTTTCTTGAGTGCTGAACCCTCCAATCCTTACAAATGTTTATTATGTCTTTCTGCTACAACTCAAAAAATATCAGTACCTTCCCCTACATTACCTGCAAGGTATGATCCACATTCCTCAACCTGTGGTCTGCTGCTCCGCCTGCCATCCAACTCCCAGTGCTCATACCTTTCCCCTACACTGTCCCCACCCTGCACCTCTCGCTTGCCTTGTGCCTTTCTCATCTTTGCACAGGCCCTTCACCCCAGCTCTGGTGACTGTTCCCCACCCTCTCTGTACTGCCAGGCAAGGGGACTCTGTAGTCCCACCTTCACAAAAAAGCCTCTCTCAGTTATCCCAGTACAGAGTAGAGGAGATTTATTGTCCATACTCTTACTAGTCACTTAGCACATATTTCTTGAAGTCATTAGCTATCCTTATAGTGTTTACATTCGGTGAGAACAAGGGCCACAGTGCTTGGCACATTCCTTGCTCAAAAAAATTAACCATTGATAATAAGAAACATTTTCAGAGTAAAAGATAAATATCTTGATAATAGTTCTTTTCCCCTAATTATAGTTAGCTTACTGGAACCTAATAGTTAAAAACAGAAATATGCCAATATATTTCCTTTTTCTATCATTCTTATCATTAGATCCTATAAAATGTTGCCATTTCAGTGTTTTGTGTCTTATAGCATGCCTGTCATGTAGGTAGGTGACTTGGAATTATTTCATATGAACTTATTGAAAAAATAAACTCAGATAATAGTCTCATTTAATAGTTTGAAAAACTTTTTTAACCATTTGAATGCTGGGTGGCTATTCTGAGCCTCAGTTTCCTTATCTGTAATATGAAAAGCTTAGACTCTGTGATTGTAAAATGATATTGAAGGAAGAAATTCTCAGAAGACATACTGTATATCTGTCCCCTACACTAGTGATTTCAACTGAGGCGGGTACCACCACCTTAAGGTAAGTAAGTGAATGAGGGAGAATTTTCCTCTTCACAGTGATCAGGCATGGGGATAGTCATTCAGTGTTGGGTTTAGATACATAGTGCATTGGATAGTCTCACATCGGAGACTTGTTCTGCCCAAAAGGCCAACAGAATAACATTAGGAAACACTTTTCTAGATAGCATAGCAGAATTCAACTTATGGAGTTAAGATGGAATTCTCTGATTTTTTGTTTTTTTAGCCTACAAAATAATGGAGTCATGAAGAAGGATTTTACATTTGCAAAGAATGTTTCTGCATTTGCTGCTATTATGAGAGTTGTTTCTTAGGTTATATAGAGACCCTTAGATTTATTGTATGTGTCTTTCAGCGAAAATCAATATAATTTCCCCCTTTTTTGATATTATTGAGACTTAGATCATCATTCAATTGAGTATCTATATCTGTAACTACAGTTGACCTTTGAACAATGCAGGAGTTAGGGATGCCAACCCCCCATGCAGTTGAAATATCTGTATATAACTTTTGACCCCCCCAAAATTTAACCGAATGGCCTACTATTGACCAGAAGCCTTACTGATAACAATGAGCAGTTAACATATATTCTGTATATGTTTTACTTGGTATATTCTTCTCACAATAAACTAGAGAAATATTTTCTAAGTTATCATAAATCTTCAAAAATTTTTCCAATATGTTTGTTGAAAACAGTACACGTGTAAGTGGACCCACGCAGTTCAAACCTGTGTTGTCCAAGGGTCAACTGTATAAAGTCTCTGTGGTTATTTGTATCAATGCTTTGAACTACAAGTAAGAAGTCCTACCCAAAAGTGGTTTAACAATCAATAAAGGTATGTACATACTCATTCACCTGCAGGTCTCAGATGGGTTGAACTTCAAGACAGGCTTAATTCAGTAGCAAGAGCTCCATTGCTTTGTGATTTTCACATGGCTGTCCTTCATGGGATGGCTGTATCCCAAAATGGTAGCAAGACTACAGAATCTTGGCCTCATATCCGTACATGCCAATGTTCAAAGGAAGGAATAGAGGCTGACTCTTTCTGTGGTTCTTTCTTAGGATCATGAAAAGTTCCCTTAGAAGATCCTAGTAAACCACCTCTCATATCTCACTAGCTCTAAATAAATCATGGGCCTAGTCCTGAACCAAACACAGTTGCCAGGGAAACCCATGCACTAAATGCCTCAGTCACTGACCAGCAGTGGGATCGCAGTGAGTGAGCCTCATCAGAGCCACACCGCGCCGGGAGTCCAAGCTGCACACAGCCACCCAGCCCCTGCACATCACGTGCGAGGCAGGCACAGCAGCTGTCCACTTCACTTCTCTTAGGAATTTTCTCTCTCCCTGAGTTTTGTTGCTCTGTGTCTCTTAGATGCATATCCTCAAAGCTTCTTTAAAGATGTACTCTACAATCCTTTTTAACTTACGTTTCTTTGATGCACTGAGGCAACTGACATTAATTGGTCTAGATATTTTGGGCTTTTATATTCCCTTTTGATGTTTGTAAAGTTTGTATAAATTTTACCAGTTTTGTTTTTTTCTGGACTGGATAAGAGGAAATTGGATTAAAATAAAAGAGAAGAAATTTCAGGCATTTATTTTAAGTTGTCCATGAGGATTTTCACAGGGATTCTACCAAATTATCTTCCTCAGCCACTAATGTTAAAATTTAGAAAGAATATAAGTTCCTTATGAACTCATGCTAAAGTAACTGTTAATAACTTGTATATAGAGACACAGCTTCTTTGGGCCCACCCATATTTCAGAAATGGACTTCAAAGGCACAGATAAAATAATAAGGCAAACTAAACAAAATGAGGAACTTCTGGGGCTCAGCTTCCTCACAGAATCTAACTAAAACAACAGGAAACAAATTCACAAGGACAAGAGTAAGAGAGGAAAACATGGATAAATGAATGGTATCTAATTTAGCCAACCAGGAGAACCTGAATCATAAACTGGAAGTGGGGAAAACAGAGAAGCAATCTGATTTATGACTTACGATCACCAAAATGCTTAAAATTGTCAGGATCAAGTCCTCCTGTAAATTAAGAGGAAAAGATGATTTTTGTAAATCTGCTTAAGACACACTTAGATCCCCAGATCTGTTTTCCAACTCAGCTGCCAGGCTGCCGCCCCTCCCCTCTCCTGGCACAGCACTGCAGATTTATTCCCTAGAGAGGGTAAAATTAGAGGGTGCCTGGACCGCAGTGGAGGAGGGAAGTAACATCAGGCACAACTGGAGATAAGGGTGTCGGTGGAAACAGGGAGGGCGTGACATGTAGTCTTAACTCTGCGGATCACAGCCTTCTCCTTCCAGCTCACACAGGTGACCCGTGAAATGCTGGCAGGCAGGCTTCTACCTTGCGGGCATATTATACGTGTCTTGCCTGAGGACTCTGACTAGCCCAGGAGAAAAGACCTCACACTGAGGACTCCAGTGAAACGGCCCTGCCGGATTCCCCTTCGGGAGAGACCCCAGTCTACACTCACCCACCTAGGTGCACACAGCTTCCATTCAGGTTTTTCATACCACATTTTTGAAATGATCAGACAGCCCAGGTCATCAGACATTTGAGGAAGTCGTTCACAATGGAACAGAGAGCCCGAACAGAAGTAAACACAAAAAACAACGTGGAAAAAAAACAAAGATTTCATGGAAAGAAGAAAGTGGGAGGGGGTTTTGGGAATCTATTACTAATATCTTTAGAGAGGCCTGGGAAGACAGAGCATCTATAAAATAAAAACACGACTTTGTAAAAAAAAAAAAGAGGGAAAATAAACCACTTCAAGGAACAAATAAGAGCTCTTTAAAATTGTATGCAAATGGCACATGAATACAAACATGTTATTGAAAGACTGAGTTAGTGAATGACGCCTTTCAGAAAGCAAGAGGTAAAGGGAGGTAAATAGGAGTACAAAAATAAGAAAAATTAAGCGTCTGCTTAGGAGTTTTGTCATCGTAAATAGTAGGAATTCCAGAAATAGTTAAGGCTGAAAGTAGGAAATTATCAATAAAATTATTCAAAAAAATTTCCAGAATTCAGATTGAAAGAGCCCATTGAGTTCCCAGTGCAATTAATTAAAATATACTTTTTAGGATACATTTTCATGAATTTTCAGAATTTGGGGAATAAAAGAGAAAATCCTAAAATAGAAATTATCGAGAATCAGAATGGCTTCTCAACATGGATTTATTCTACAAATATTTATTGAGTATTTACTGTGTATCAGGAAGTGAACAAAATAACAGATTCTTCTGCAGCTTTCCTTTTGATGAGGAAACAGCATGCAGTAACTTCGTGATTTTGAGAAAAGATTATTTCTAGCCTAGAATTCTATACCAGCAAAAATCTGGATTAAGGCTAATGGCAGAATAATATTTTCAGATGTATAGGACCTCAAAAGATGCTTTTCCCATATTCCCTTTCTGAAGAATGCAATTCATTAAAACAAAAGAGAAAACAAAGAAGAAAGAGGGGGAGTTCAGATCCCTGAAATGGGAAATCGACATGGGAGAGAAAGGAATCTTCACAGTGTTAGTTAATAGAGACCCCAAAATGACAACTGAGTTTAGAGAACAACCAGTTCTGGCCGGGGTGGTCAGACAATGCTTCAGGTAGATGAATTGACAAAGCATTGAGGTATTTTAATATGTTGAGAGGAGATTTACCCACCTGTAACAGAGTTTGGAGTTGTATTAGATTGTATTAATTATATTGGAGTTTGGAGGTACATTAGATTAAGTATATAAAAAGAGGAAATTAAAAACAAAGACAAGTATTAGTTATAAACAAAACAGTGGCACATAAAAAGCAATAATAGTAAATATTGTGTCTCGGTTATCTAGGACATTTACATAATTCATATAATAGAGAGAATGAATTTAACCCCCTAAAATGATGTGACTATTAGAAGGATGGGTAGGACAGAAATTATGTTTAGGTGAGAGAATGTGGTCTTAAAAATGAAAGCTACTTATGTCTAAGGAGTACTGGGATGATATTTACCCTTCTACCTAAAACTATTTTAAAAAGGGACCAAATACATGGAAAAAATGCTTTTTAAGACATTAAACATAAGACAATAGCAGTGATTCCTGAGAGATGGAAAAGGAATGAATGAGCCCTTTAACTATCCCTGCTTACTGCTAGGAGAGTGTTCCCAGGCTGTGGCCCATGGAGGAGGAATCTGGGTGCATCCCAATGGATACCTTGGCTTGAGGAGACCGAACTGGGAGTCCAGGGAGGGTAAGGAAGCCGGAGTTCCAAGGGCAAAGTTCTAAAGAAGAGAAGGAGAGAAGAAACCTACTGGTATTTGCCAAGGGTCCCCCTTGAGTCTGCTGCTAAATATTGATCTCTGCCTGTGTGTGAGGAGACTATTCAAATTCAGGCAAAGAACTTTATGAAGGGATTACAAGGGAAAACCCCAGAGCTAACACAGGTCCCACTACCCAGAGTGTAAAGTCATGGGCACTCAGACAGTGGGAAAAATTAGCCCCAGAATAAACACTTTATTTTCCGCAATGGTGGAAAAAATTAATCCCAGAATAAACACTGCCATAGGCCTCCTAATGAAGATGAAAATCAAGATTCAAATGAATACTGTTTTCAAACAATTTAACTGCCTTCCAAAGTATGTTTCAAGAATAGTTAAAGAAATACAAATGTATTCAGCTACCAATAAGGTAAAATCAGAGTGTCTAGCATCCAGCCAAAAATTTCTAGGTATATGAAGAACTAGTCAAGTATAACTAATGAGGAGAATAAAACAACAAAAAGTGAGAATTACCCAAAGAATAGAGTTAGAAACAATAGTATTGAAATAATTGTTATTACTGTATGTCATATGTCATATGTTCAACCTGTTAAGGGCACCTATGGAAAACCTGTAACTTACATTGTACTTAATGGTGAGAGACTGAATGTTTTCCACTTAAGATCAAAAACAAGGCAAGGATGTCTGCTCAAAAGTCAATAATTAAGGTTGTATGGTGTGGAGGGTCCAGAAATAGTCACGAACATATGATCAGTTGATTGACAACAAATGTACACAATTTGCAAAGTGTACTTTTTTGACCAATGGTGCTGGAAGTATTAGCCTAGGTCCATAACCTCACACATGATTCAAAAGTTCAAATAGACCTAGAAAACAGAAAATCTGTGGCCTTAAACTAAGCAAAAATTCTTAATAAGTAAAACACCAAAATCATGATTCGTAAATGGAAAAAATACTACCTTGAACTTCATCAGCATTAAGAACTTCTGATCTTACAAAGATATTGTTTAGGCAGTGAAGAGATAAATCTGAAAATTTTTTTAAATTCTGAGAAAATATTTGAATAGTTCACAGCCCACAAAAGACCTCTATCCAGAATATATAAATGACACTTAAAACTTCACCCAATAAAAATTTTTGACAGATATTTCACCAAAGATATATCATGGTGTAAAAGTATATGAAAGGATGCTCAACATCATTACTCTTTAGGGAAATATAAACTAAACAACAATTAGGTAATACTTATAGCTAAAATTTTTTAAAATAAGTACTGAACTAACAAGTGCTGGCATGGATGTGGAACTGGAATTCTGAATACACTGTTGATAGGATTGTAAAGTAGTACAATCCACTTTGTAAAATAGTTTGCAGGTTTTTAAAAAGCTAACCACCTAACACATGACTCAGACATTCTGCCCCTAGGTATTGATTGCCCCAAGAGAAATGAAAGCATATGTCCACAAAAAGACTTTTATGTGAATGTTCTTACCATCATTATTCATAATAGCCATAATATGTAAACATCCAGGGGACCATCAACAAGAAATGGATAAACAATATATCAGAATACTTATGATCAGTAAAAAGGAATGAACTGCTGATATATGCAATAGCATGAATGAATATCAAAATGTGCTGAGAGAAATCAGACCCAAAAAAGTATATATTAAATGATTCCTCTTACATGAAATTACAGGAAATACAAACTAATCCAAATGATAAGTATGTTTGAAACTTACCAAATTGTATACTTTAAATATGTTCAGTTCACTGTATTGTCATTTACACCTTTGAACCTTTTTTTTTTTTAAGGCTAAGTACTTCTCTTCCATGGTGGGAAGTTAGGATAATATCTAAAACTGAAAAATCAAGAGTTAAAAATATTAGCATTTAAGTTAGGGACATGATGGTTAAATGCCAAAAGCATTAGCTGTAAATTTAAGCATTTTTTTCCTAGAGAAATTATGCAGGGAGTGGAGTGGAACTGATAGAACTTCTGTTCATAAAGAGCCTTTTAGAAGAAGTTTCTTCTTAGATTATTTAACTTATAAAAATAAATACTGTACTTGAAAATGGTAAAGAAAAGCAGCAGCTTTATTATAGGACAGGTCTATGCAGGCTCGTTTATCTGTGGGATCAATTTACTAATGGGGAAACAGGGTGATTTTAGTATATTCAGATTAGGTATTAAACTTGGTTGAATTTTATTTGATAATTGAGTGTTCTCTTCTTTGCTACTACAGAGCTGTCAAAGTGGTAAAGACCCAAAATATTTATCCTGAAAAACAGAACAAAATGATTCCTTTCTTTTAAAACTTGCTTTGTAAAGATTAATTAAGCTTCTGTGTAGTTATTTTCTGTACTTTATTGATTCAGGATTACTTGTACTCTGTAAATGTGTTGAATTATTTACACATCATGGGCAGCTAATGCTAATTCAGAACATACCCAGTGGGACCTCAGAGCCCTGAAATGCTAAATGTAATCTAGGGATCAGTAACATTCCATTCATAAAATGTGTCACCCACAGGTTAATGGAAATAAACAATAGGAAAGACAATGGATGGATTATGCAAATACACTGAAAAGATTTAAGCAGGGGGAGGGGACTGCAAGGACCCAATTTGTGCTTTATTTAAACGTGGATTAACGTTTATGGTATACAAAACGATTAAAGCTACTTTGCTAATTTGCTAATGCTCTAAAAGGCACCACTGCACAGGAAAAACTATCAAAAATAAATTGGTTCTGGCTTTTGTGTGCAGGAGTCCGGGAGAGTAAGATGATGCATAGAGGAAAGAGTAGGTAAAGGAAATTTTTAACAGTCAATGAAATGCTAAACACAGTGTTCTGAAGAGAAATTTGAGTGACTAGATATATGACACTTATTTGCATTTATCTGAGACTAATCAAAGTTTCAGAAAACTAAAATCTCATCCTAATGTAAATTCTACAACTGCTTAGTGCGACCTCCATCTTTTTCTTGACAACTTGCTCCTGTAAAACAAATCGAACTTAAAATGTATGTGCTTTTTTAGGGAAATCTGTCCAAATTACAATGTGAAAAAAATGGAATTTCATCATTAACTACATCCTAGAAAATATGTCTGCCAAGTCCCTGAATAGCAGCAGAGGATGTGGAAATAGATAAAACTTCCTTTCAGGTTATTAGTTTGAAGATTTCTAAGTCAGAGCAGTGTGGCAACCTAGAACAGCCCAGCTGCCTACGGCACTCGGTCTCCGGAAGGCGGCGGTGTTCGGGGAGAGGGCGCTTTGCTGAACTTGGTTCAACGAAGCAAGGAACTCCAGTGGGATGAAGTGGCCCTGACATTCTCTACTCTCTAAGTGGAAAGTGACCTGAAGAGGGACCCCACATAAAGAGCAGTAAACGTGTCACCACCATCTGGCAGCTAACTTCTGAGGCGCCCACTCGCTTTCCCAGCCTCTGACCCTGATTCAGGACACGCACATAACCTGCCCTCCAGCTGCTGGGGTATATTAAGAATACATGGGACTAGAAATACTTTTGATAAATGTCTCTGAAGAAATGGGTTACATTTTCTAGAATAGAACATGACAGAAGTTCTTATGAAAATAAGAACCAAAGGAGGCATTAGTATGCTGGCAAAAGAGCTTCAGGAGATTTCTGTGTGTTGTGTGGGGAGATTGGAGACTTAGACCCCAGCAGAGACAGGCAAGTGTCAGGAGAGGGGGAAGCAGGAGCCTTGCTTGTCCTAAAAGTTATGTCTGTGGTGTGTGTTTCCATCCTAAACCGCATGTAACTACAGGAGAAAATGGGGGAAACTGTTTCATCACTGAGTTTGTGTCACAACAAAACTTAACCCAGAAACAATTAGGGAATGAATTTTAATTATCTCTTTACTTACAGAACCCGGGAGGTTCTTGTTACTGTATGTTTTCTGTACATGAATTCTCAAAACATTAGGACCATTTCATCACAGGGTACACCCTTACTGCTTCAACATTGAAAGCATGGCGGTAGGTAAGCGTCAGCAGTCAAAATGTCCCTGGAGAGGTTGATGATGTTTTACACTTTTCACTGTTCTCCAATAATGCCAAGTAATGGAAGAGGGAATTTTTTTTTAAACTTGTCTTGGGTATTAAATGCTTGACATTTCTGTTCCTTGTTTTGTTTTTAAAGATACTGTTTTCCCTTTGGACGACCTGAAGGTGCTCTGAAAGCTACACTTTCATTACTTGAAAGGGTATGTATGAACCTTACTTTGTACATACTATTTGCCTACGCAATGGCTCTGTTCTACTTACTGAGCTAGGCACATGGACACTCTTACTCCCCACAGTTCAGTGTGTTCTCTACTGAGTCCATCACATTTCATCAGTTTCTCACCTCCCTCCTTCAGACTCTCCTTATATGCACTTCTTTCTCCCCAAAGCCTTCCTGCAGCCTTCCCCTGCCATCCCACACTGAGTTTGTGGCATTTTTAGGATAGTGTCTACTTTCTCCACCTCTTTTTAACCCCTCATGAAATTCTTTTTTTTTTCTCCCAGGTATGTGTGATTATTTTTCACTCTCCACAATTGTCCTTTATTATCTGCCCTGACATAATTGTACTTCTGCCTGTCATATTTCTCATACCCACAATAGTTTATCATTTAATATTCATGAACATCTTTCCTTTAATTCTAAATTAATCTTGGAATTTATTGCTTAGTGTTACCTTATATGAATTCCTGAATTACAGAACTTTATTTTTTGAGTGAAAATGAGGTTAAAGTATATTCTCCTATTTTTGTGGCAGACTAGGTTTGAAAGGGAAATACTTCCACCTCTCTATAAAGCTATTCATATGCTAGTTGGAAATAGTTGAGTAATGCGAACAACTATTCTTTATCATATTAAAAAGAATTTTTAGGGATCATCTATAGCTCATGATCTGATTATTCTGATCCTGATTTATTGACTTCAAGGACTTATTCTTGTCCACTGTCTACCAGATGAATTCTAGATATCAAATTGTTTATTAGCACTTCTATTAAAAGCAAACAGAAAAGACATTGTTCAGTGATTTAAGGACCTGGGAGATGAGAGTTAGAACTAATGACTAACATGAGTCTTTGGATTTTAGACTGGTTTTATCTGTATGTCCCTGTCTTATCTTTGATTGTTGTACATTATATGATGGAAATATTATTGTAGTAGTTGTCTGTGTTATTAGAATTTTTATAGTATTAAAGCTGCATCTAACCCAGGCTTTTCAAAGTATCCATTTCATCCTGTTCATTCAGGAACCATGGATAAGATAAAATCCTTTAACAGAACTTTACTTTTAGGAACAGCATCCCATCCTTGTACTTAGTGCATCCTCTCTGTGTGCAGGTTTCCATGGTCGAGCTCCTTACTCCCAGTGCAGAAAGAGTCAGTAATAGCAGAGGTCCCCTCATGCCTTTCCCTGACAGGTGGCAGGATGAACAGTGTCCCTTTCTCCAGTTACAGTCACTCATCATGTCTCTTGCTGAATTAAGAGAGAGATGGCAAAGGTTAATTCTGCATATGCATGTCTGTACTTCTGAAATCTTAGAAAACTGAAAATATGCATGTGAACGTTTGGTACTTAGGATGCCTTAGAGAACATGAGGACACATGAAACAGGTTGTGCCTCCTTTTGGCCCTTCCAGCATTTTATCTGCACTTTGCCAGGAAAGAGGATTCAGTTCTCCGACTCCAAATTAAATCTCCAGCTCCTAGAGGCAATATGAAATATTGCCTGATTTCAACTCTGGATTCACTTCTGTAACAGACATATGCATTCTAATTTGAATAGCTATTTCTATTATTTAAAAGTTGGTCACTGTGGGAAGGCCTAGTAGTAAAGTTCATGGTTCTGCATATGGAACAAAGTTCATCTTGAATTTAAATTTTAGTAACAATTGTAGTAAAAATAATAGTGCATGTTAATGCTTGTGTATTTTTTACCATGAGCAGAAGTTTTCTGCCTATAAATACTCTAATGTGCAGTTGTAATTAAAGTGCTAAATATATGTCAATGTGTTAAAGATTTTTAGTATAAGAATATGAAGGGTAATTTAATTTGATAGAGAGGAAATTTTTAAGTGATAAAGTTTACTGTTTTCAAAAGGAACTTGGCCTAATAACATTAAAATATATTTATCAAGAATCACCAATGCTAAATAATTGAATAACTTTGACATTATAAAATCCTCAGTGCCAAAATTGATTGAAAGAAAATGAAATAGTAAAGCATGGAATGGGTGTTTTCATGTTCTTTCGATACTTCTCTCAAGGTAAAAGATTAATACAATAGTAAGAACACTTACAAAAGAATTGTCTCCTCTATATTAACATTTTACCATGTATTTAATAATTTGTAAGCAAATCAAGAAAAATGCATTAATATGGAAAAATAGAGTGTGACTAGTAGTATAATCAATTTATTGTGAACAGTTTTGTCACTAAGAAAGTTTTAAGGAAAATTTGAGTGACTCATTCTAAAAGTGATTAAATACATTATATTTCGAATTATGGATATGATCATATTTTCCCCTTGCCAATAGTAATACTTCTAAAGGGAAAAATCCAAAACACATTTTAGGAACCCAATAGAAAATGATCAGTTTTTTTTTTAGAAGTTTCTATGTATTTTGATAATTGATAATCCATTCATTTCACTAAAACAAGTTTTCTACTCCCTTCAGCAGATCATGACAATTAAAGCTTAATTATGAGAAATACAGATCTTGATTTTTATAGAACTCAAAAGTAATGCTTATTTTTCATGGCATTTTTGTTACTGTTTCATAATATATGTTGCTCAAAATATTTAAAACTTTTCAATTAAGAATGTGCAAAGCAAACTTTGTTACTTGTCCCAAGGACTGTAATCCTGATCTGAAACAGCTGCTCTAATGGTGCCATGGGTCCCTGGAGGAAAAGTGACAGCCACACTGAATGGTGGCTTGGCCTGTGGGAGGTTTTGATGGGCATAAATGAGTTTTAGACAGGAGGAGCCAAGATTGGAGGATTACTTTCCAGGTAGTGAAGTGCCAACTCATTACTTCCCTCCCAAGTTACCTAGGACCCCTTCCTGGTAATAGTCAGATCAAGGATAATTTGTTTCATTTGTTGTTGTTTTGTATTTACTTTTTGCCATTCTCCTCTCTTTCTTTCTCTCTCTTTCTAGGTTTTGATGAAAGATATTGCCACTCCCATCCCAGCAGAAGAGGTGAAAAAAGTGGTCAGAAAATGTCTGGAGAAAGCTGCCTTGATCAATTACACTAGACTCACAGAATACGCCAAAATAGAAGGTCAGTGCAGTGAGCAATTGCCCAAGTGGCAGTGAGAGCCAACAATGCCTATTAACTGAATTTTCTGCGAGAAGTCCTTTCCTTTCCAGAACAAACCTGCACTGTGGCAAAGGGAAATGTCTCATTAAAATCTCAGCTGGGGAACTGAAGAGCTTTTTCCTATTCATTGCTTTAATATGCCTCCTGGGACTCTGCTTGAATGAAAGACCCAGGATTCGTGCTTAAGTTGTCCTTTGTTCTTATTTTGAGTTTTCAAGAAACCAAAAGGTGTTTTCCTGGGTTGTATTTTTTGACGTTATTTTAAGTATGCCTAACATTTAAACGATGGGCAGTGTATTCTTTCCTGATCAGTAACACTGTAGTATTATTACATCATTTTAGTTTCTGTTCTACAGCGTCATTCAGAGAAGGAGGGAACTTGTTGATTATGGCGAGAGCCGAAATAAACTGATAGAATTCCCTGCAACTTTTAATTGCTTGCAGTATATCGATGCATTCAAAAAGATTAGAGAGTGCTGTGCATTTTTTTCTCTTTCTTCAAGTTTTATTCATTAAAGATGCTGAGATTTGAGATGTTTAGAAAGAAGTAGATTGAAATTTGTGGCAAAGGCACAAAATCAGCTTTTATCAGCAATCCTTTGTTGATGTAATTTAAAGTAATAGAAAGGCCTCAAAATGTTTGCTCTACCTTAAAACTGGCTTGTGTCATTATACATGTAGCATTAACTTAGGGAGGAAAAAAGTTTCCAACGTTAAATACTTAATCTAAAATAAAAGTAAATCGCCTATTAAAAAATTTAGTGACTTTTAATATAAAATTGTGCTTAATTGTACATTTACTAAGTATTGATATTAAGATAGTTCCATCAAAATTGGGACAATGGAAAACATGGATTATAATTGGCTGTGTTATATCCTTCTTTCTCCCGAAATCTGAACAAGCTTTCTAACAAGCATGTGATAACCAACCTCCTGAGTGATTAACAAAAAAGCCATCCCATCACTATAGCAACCAATATTATATCACGAGAGTAACAACATGAAACCTCCTTAGTTACCAGTTTGACATCATTAATTATGATATCATGTTGTGTTAAAGCAATGAATATTAGATCATTTGGAGAAAGTGGAAAATAAACAGATTGGTTTTCACATTTTGAATACTCATTCAAACAGTTTTCGTGTTTGGGGAATATTGGGTGTTGTGAACACAGGTTGAAAGAATTGATATAAAAATAGACATATCAAAACCTTTCAAATCTGATCAAGAGAAAAAATGTTTGTATACCAATTGCATAAGCACAATACTGTTTTACCCAAAAGTTCAAACCCTATCCAAAAAATTATGGTTATCCTTTTGTTCTTAAATGTCTGTTTTAGTTAATAATCTTGATCATTACCTTGTCTAGGTATACTGAAAAAATGTGCAGTATGTTTCTGTGTATATTTATTTTCTAATCACAGAGTCCATTTTAATCCCGACAAAGAACCTTCTTTTATTTGTCACAGTCATGGACTTCCTTTGTTAATTAGCTAAACAAACATGTTAACACCAGTGATCACAACAGTATAACTATTCCTCTGGATCACACATAAAAACAAGTCAGTGTTAGAGAAAATCCTCTGTGGACTGTGAGCAGGGACCTTTCCCACTTCTTCCCTTTCTAGGGTCACTCCTCTCTTATCTCTAATCTGAGAATATTCTAGAAAATAGATCCTTGAATTTGAGCTAGGTGGGACTACTGAGCAGTCTTCTTTCAAAAAACAAAACGCATGTTTATTAGACGAGAAAAACTTCTTGCTTTTCATTATCTCCCTCCCCCCCAACTTTGGTATATCTTAAAAAAAATACAGTGCTTTGGGTTTTTGCTTAGACCCAGACCGAGAACAAAATCAAATTTAATTTAGAAATAGGAAGCGGGATACTTTTCTTTGCTTGAATGGCCTTCTACAGTATGTGAGCACAACGGACAGAGTTTACTCTTCTCCTAAATTCTCTTTTCTTATGTTCTAGGCCCAGCAGAAAAGGAAGCAGGTAATTAATGTCTGTGCATGCGCGTGCCGTTAGTTCTAATGTGGTGGTGTGATGTTTTGCTATTGATGAATAGCTATCTCCTTCTCAGGGCTCCAATTAGATCACTTTAAGATACGGAACATACTTTGATTTTATCGGAACTATTGTTAATGCATTGTAGGGAAAATACAGTCCATTTATCTCTTTAAAAGTTCAGCAATGTTTTGTATATGAATTCGAAGCAAAAAAACTTGAGGCCGTATTAATGTTATGCATTAAGTTTTAAGCGCAGACACTAATCTTATTTGGAAGATTTTACCAATATTTAAAAGGCTCTTACAACTAGAAAGGAGGATCATCTTTCCCTTATCACTCCTGAAAAATAGCATGAGCATAAAAAGCATACATGCTATGAAATACAAAGTAAACAGCTCTTAACTTTAAAAGTTGTTAATCATAGAAAAAAGAGTGGCGGTTATGAAATCTCACTCAGGAAATTTTGAGGGAAGAGTTCTCTGGGTCTCTGGATTTTTTTAAGGCTTTGTTACCTTTTCCTTACACCCCTTATCCCAGTTGTAATTAATTTAACTACATGTGCCGTTATCTGTGTATTGTCTCTATCTCCTGTTCAGCCCCTTGCAGGCGGGGTCTTACTGAACCTGCTCGCAGTTGTATCCCCAGTACCCAGCCCTGGGCCACTAAAGCAAAGTAGGTGCTCAGCACCTTAGAGAGACACCAAGGCTAGTCAGTTAATCCCATTGGAAACAATGCAGCAAGAAACAAGCGCTGCACCTTTCTTGTCCTAGTTTCTCATCTTGGTCAAATTTTGCATTCAGTATTGTAGACAAGTTTGCTTGGGTTGTTTTTAACTGAGGACATGCACTAAGGGCTCTATTTCTTTTTTTTTTTTTCTGCCTTTTTCAATTCTTTTCCAGCATTTGACCCCAAAAAGTGTCAGGAACAAAACACTCAGAGCTGAGAAAAGGGGAAAGAACACACCTACAATGATCGCTAAAGTGCACTTTAGAAAAAATGAATTAGAAAAAAGTAGGAGCATACCATCCCCTCTACAACAGCCCACTGTCATAGCAGCAGGCACACGCTCTGTACCAAACTTCTCCTAAGGCTCTTCTGGCATTGTATCCTCCACAGTATTTCTGTGGTAGAAATGGCTGTTATGTAATTTACACACAAGAAGACCACAGTTGTTAGTGACTTTCCACTGCATGGAGTAAATAGGTCCCAGCTGGGACTCAAGTCAGTTGTCCTGATCCCCAGCCTACAAAGACTGCACTCCTACCCCTGTGAAATAAGAAGGGGCACAGTATTCCTTCTTGAAGGATGGAGGGAGGTACCAGGTAGAGTTGCCCTGTTCTCATTAAAGGAGGGAAGAGGGGAGCTGCTTTCCCCACTACCTCAATTCCACCAGATAGAAGCCTTCCTATTGCGCCTATTTAACATCCATATCCCTGCACCACTGTACAGGCCAGTCACTCTAGGAAAAACACTTTTATTAAAATTAAACACGTGTATAGAAAAGAGGGGAGAAAACCAGTGTAGTCTCAATAATTTAAGTAGATTGAGGGGAGAGCTAATCTCAGATGAAGACTGTTCCAAGGTAACAGAAGAGAGGTTTTTGAGAAATGTAGTTCTACTTCTTAGTTGCAGTTGGTAGGAAGTTAGCAGGGTTACCTAGCAAATGTCCTTGGAGGTGCTTTTAAAGTGTGTAAAAATGAGACTGTCAGTTGCATGTGTATGGGCTCAAATGCTTGCTAAGCCTTCAAATAGTAATCTCTTGAGCATGTAATCATTTCCTCGGTTTGTGCCATCTCAAGAAGAGTCATATTCTGCTCAGAATTTGTCTTAACTTTGACCACCTGTCCTCCCAGAGGTTTTTTATTAACCCTGCTTGGTTCTTCCTTAACTGCACAAAGCACGTCTTTTACAGAACAGGTAACTGAGACTTGAGAAAAGTGAGTAACCTGCACAGGATTTGCTGTAGTTACTAAAATCCACCAGACCTGAGATCCTCCCCTGTGTCTGTCAGATGCTGCAACCGTCTTCGGGCTCCTTCTACTGGCTGCCCTGCCTCCAAGACCGTCTGATTCACAGTAACGGCTTTTTTGCATGAACACCTCAGGCACATCACAAAAACCAAGGGTTAGGATCCGTAGGGTCACTTTTTCCAAATACATAGGTATTTATTTAATAGGAGCAAATGCTTATGTGCAGGGAACTATTCTAAGCACTTTACACGTATCCATTCATTCATCACAACAATCCTTTACAGTAAGTACTATTGTTACTGTTGTTCCTTTTTGAGGAAACTGAAGCAAAGAGGTTACTAGCCCTGTGACTAGAGACCAGCCAGCAAGTTGGGGGTTAGAACACACTCTCTCTGTATTGAACTATCTACTTATTTTCCTGGGTCGTCTTCCCTCCCTTTTCTTGGCAAGCTTGTAGAGTTAATTTTGCACTCAGTTAAAATGCATGGGCATTTGAAAGTGAGTCTGGAACAGTGCTGTGTATAGAAGTGTGAAAACTGTATACGTACTGAAAATTTTCTAGTAGCCAAAAATTAAAGAGGTAAAAAGAAACAGGTGAAATTAATTTTTACAGTTTATTTAAACCAACATATCCAAAATGCTATCATTTTAAAATGTATTTGATAAAATTATTAATGAGATATCTTACATTATTTTTTTCATGTCATCTTTGCAGTCAACTGTGTATTTTACTCTCATAACACATCTTAGTAAAGAATAGCCTCATTTCAAGTACTCATTTACCACGTGTGGCTAGTAGCTGCTGAATTGAATAGCACAGGTCTCTGTTGTAAGGCTGAGCTGGACTCCATCATCTGAGTCTCTTTATTTTCTCCCACCCGTCTTACAGTGTCAGATATTATAAAGGTGATTAAAGTTTGCAACCTCCCTGAACCCAGAGCTCGTCTCCCCCTTTCCTGCTTTATTTTTCTCTGTAGCTCTTATGATCTAACACACAATATAGTTCATTCCTCCTTCTGTTGTCCTAGAATGCTGACCACACAAAGGCAGGGCTTTTGTATTTCAATAACTGCTCTATCTCCAGTGCCGGAAGAAGTACCTGGCATGTATTTGGTACTCGATAAATATTTATTGAATAAACGAAGGAGCTTATGGCACAGAGACTAATCCGGCTATATGTAGCAGAAGGAACATCTGTAGACTCGCAAGCTGGCTTGCAAAAGGTCATTCAAATCAATCACTGGATAATTAACAATATAAGAGCATAAACTATAACCACTTAAGAATAACAAGATTGGAAAAATTAAACCAGAAATTCATGCTCTTATCAAGGGAAGGATAAGGAGGCACTGACTCTGGATCAGAGGTTATAGGGAGCAGTTGCATTAACAATATCTGGTAATCTAACCTGTTTCAGTTGTTTCTAAAATCCAGCATGATGCTCAGTTTGACTCATAGTTTTCTTCCATCCTTGGGAATTCTTCAGATTCTCCATCAGTAGTACAAACTTGCAGAATAAAGGGATTTTGCAACTTCATGATAGGCAAGATAAAGCAAATGACCTCTCACTAAATGCCTTCTTTCCTTCTTGGAAATTATTTGCATGTGTTTCATTAAAACAGTTCATTTTGAGAACTTGAAATTTCTAGAAAGCCACTTTTTTAATAGTAAGAAATGTTTGAGATTTGCACTGCTGCAAAATCAACTAGTTTTTCCCTTTGGTTTAATTTTATCACTAACTGTACTATTTATGTAATAGTAAGATCCTTTTCACAGTACTTATAATCTAGTCTTCAAAAAAGTACTGAAACTTCATTTTCCTCTTTGTGTGTGTGTGTTTTTTTTAATCCCATGCCTTGTTGATGCAAATCAGCTGTTACTTTTAAAGAAGAATCCGGTCATTCTTTAATTCAAGGAATTTCTTACAGGCAAGAATAGCAATAATACGTCTAATAACAGGCTTCACTTTCTCCTGATAACTATGTAACATGCCGTGACCTAGAATAAAAGAGGAGAGCTTGCCTCGACCTGATCTTTTGCAGAGGTTTGGTACCTAGGCTTAGTGTGAATCTCAAGATGTGGAGGTGCCCTAAACAAAAGGTAGCATGGAAAGAACAGGCAGTCTTTGTGCAGCGAGGACCTGTCTGGGCCCTGTGGTTGCCAGGTTCCCAGTCTAACCCCAGTGCACTCATTTTCAAAGTCTCAGTTGAACGGGATGGAGATGCCTTCCCAGAGGGCCACGCTGCTTACTCTCCTTGAGAGAAGGTGCGCTGTGCCAGTCCTTACGTCATTAGGATGTGTTTGCCATCTGGGTGGCATTTTAATTTAGCACTCCATTGTTAGAGTGTAGTGATAAATAATAAATAAATAAAATCTGTCCTGCTTAAGGGCGTGTGTGTATAAAAGCGAGTATATAAAAAACTGCACAGTTGATGAGAATAATTTTTTTTGTTTGTGAATAATTTCATACTAATATCTCTAGGATATGGCAACAGTTCCCTCTCATAGCAGTTTTGTGTTCCCTTATAAATTTGATTGTTATATTTTGAGTACTGTGTTACCATGAATTCAGATTACTTATATCTAAATAATAGACCAGACATTTTGCATTTGCATAAGCATTGACAAGACTTTGCAGGAGGTAATTTGTATATTAAAAGAAACAGAATCCTTGCTCTAAAAAGAATAAAACAAAATAAAAGAGTGAAAGAATTTCTGTCCAGCCTTTTTGGACAATGTGGTTTGGGTGCTGGGGACCTTGGCCTGAAAGTAAAAGTCTCTGTAACCATCTCAGCTTCTGAATCATCTGATGATTTAGGGGCAAATCGATACCATCTCTGGCTCTAAAACAGAAAGTGGCTTATTTCGTCTTCTTTAAAATATTTGAGTAAATCATACAAATCTGTCTATAAGGCATTTTTAGTTTGTAAAGTAATATGTATACTAAAAACTCATTGCTTGAGCAATACTGATTTAGTATCTGTGACCTTTTGGATAGGAATCAAATTAAAATTTATTTTTGCACTATGTATAAGGAAAAGCTGTGTATATTTTTCAGATGGTCAATGAACTATTTAAATTACTTAAGGAGATAAATTTTTTTCTAGGAATAAATTACTTTGGTTCCATCATCTAATATGATTCAACTATAATATTAATTGTAAAATATTTCTAACAGTATGTTCTCATCAATATATTGAATTAGATGTCTTCAACACCACTTCCTTGCCACACCATTCACTTATCCTTTGTAATGTACACACTAGGAAGTAGTAAGACTATATGCTCTTTTAAGTACTATGTAAGGAACATGGATTCAGTTTAGTCACTTTCACATCTGATCTGGAATGAACAAGGATTTCTCGTATGTATTTGCCTCAACTCTTCTCCCACCACCTCACTAGCCACACAAGATGCCAAGCTCACACTGTGTACTTTGTGTTCATACCAATGAGTTGGCTCATGACCATGCTGACAGATTAATTCCTGCATATCCAGATACTTGGGAGGCATAATAAGCAGGCGTTGTAGGGATTACTGACTACAAGAAGCCAAGAACACATCATTTGCTTACGTCTGGCAGGGCTTTAAAGCTGTGTACCTTCAGTTAGCTTAAGACAGACTTAAGATGGAGGAAAAGCGTGTTGTTTGGTTGCTCAGGAGTCCTTGGCATCCTCAGGTCACTAGCCAACTGAATGAAAGGTGAAGTGTGGATGCGAGGAGCCCTCTGTGCACCAGTGGTGACATTTTGGTGATGCTCGCAAGACCCCTAGGGCTTCTGCACCTGCTGTTCCCCCACATCTTGAGTAACCAAAAGACGGGGGTTCTGTCAACTCCAGGCAAACCATAGAGACATCTAAGGACATTTAGCACTGTCTCTTCTAAAACTGGTTCTGAGTCTACATTGCATTAATATCCTTTCTGATTTATATGAGTTGAATTATGGGAAAGCATTGGTATGTGTTACTCCACTTAAAACAACTGCCGCCATGCTGACCTCTGGTTCTGGCTTTCCACCCCTTAGCCTGGAATTAGTGTTGCCAAGACTGAATGATTTGTCATGCATCCCTGGAGGTGCTCTGTGACCTAAATGAGTGGCACCTTTGCTTGATTTGCATTTGTCAGTGAGTCATCCATCCTTTCTCTCCTTTTGTATTTTGTTTTATTTTTATACTGTGGGTTGTAATAGATAAGGGCAGTCTCAGTCAGGGATGGTCATAGCTGATCTCATATATAAAAATGAAAACTTGATTCTATCTTGAACATTCTTTCTCTAAATCATAATGGTCATAGGAACTTGATCTTCAGTTTAAATGACACCTAAGTTTAGGGCATTTGAGGGCAGTCACTTAATTTCAACTATGTGAGCACAGTAAACCTTCGCTCTCTAGCTCTATACCTACAAACTAATGGCATCCACACCTGTCTCTGTCTCCTGTTTCCAGCATCAGGGATGAGGTAGTTTGTCCTTCCGAGCCAACTCATCCATCTGTGATTTTGACCCCAGGTCTGCCTACCTCTTTCTGGATAGATTTTACTCCGTCATGTATCTTGTCTTTCTCCTGTGGCTTGTACCTCTGTTTCTTACTATATATTTCCCTCCATATACCCAGCTTATCCCCCTAGAAAAGCCTTACCTTCAGCTTTGTTCCTCCTTCCAGCTGCCATCCATAGAGCAGTGTGTGCTCTGTCTTTTCAGAGTGCCCCCCATCATTTCTCTGCTCACAGAAATTTGGCTTCCAATCTGTCTTGTGAGGAGTTACACTAGCCTGGAGTGTGGCTGGTTAGAGGGAGAGTGGAAAGGAGGAAAACTTCTAAATTCTGCTCCTGCCTCCCTCTTGCACTGCCTTGAGACAGTCACTTCTTACCTTTCACCGTTGGGATTGGTAGCAGTAGGCCAGGTGGCCAATATCTGTGGCATTATTAAGACAGGGCCCCAGCTGTGCTGAGTGAGATACTGATGAAAACAGGAATGAGCAGAGCTGTCCTCAGGCAGGCACCCCTCCACCCCTCTGCATCCAGACCTCTAATTTAGTGAATCACAACCTAAGGAGGCTTGGCCAAGTGTGGCTGCTTTGCATCTAACAGATTAATGGTGAATCCCTGTCCAGAGGAGTTACCTAATGGATTAGTAGCAAAAGGAGATTATCAGTATTGGTTCTGCATTACCTGGGCCTCTGCTCCAAAGCTTTCACTTCCCTCTCCTCAAAGGTCCTGCGAAGGACACAGGAAAGGGCCTGCTCATCATCTTAACCTTGGTGCCTCCAAGTGGCCATGAGCTCTCAAGCCAAAATAATAGACTCCTGAGGACTACAGCCCCTGTTGAAGACAAGAAACTAAATGCTATGTGCCATCGAGAATTTAGGGAGCAGGAATTTAAGTTGAGCATAATATTCTCAAGGGAATATGGGGAGATGCTAGTAATATGCAGACAAGTCATGAAAAATCAACTGGAGATATTTGGTGTGAAAATAGTAGGATTGTACCTAAGATACGATACAGGATGAATACAAGTGAAAAACTTACTAGTGGCCTGGGAGATCATAATGAGGGCAGCAGGAGAAGGATAGATATAAACAATGTAAAAGGAAACTAAGTTATAGGGGGTATAGCAGTAGAAGTCTAGAGGAAGATAGACTTCCATAAGACTGATTAAGAATAGAAGATGGAGATAACAGTATGAGAGAAAAATAGCTAGAGACACAAGAGACAGAAAATATGGGAGAGTATCATGAACACAAAAATTGCAAATCTAGATGAAATTGATCTATTTCTTGAAAAACTAAATTTTGGTATGATGAGCCCAAGAAACAAAACTCAGCCCAATAAGCTTTAAAAAATTAAAATAGTTGTCAGTGGACTTCCATCCCCCAATCCCTAAGTCTGGTTGGTTTGGGAACTGAGTTCGACCAAACTTCTAAGGAACAAATAATTCCTATCCAAAATAAGTTCAATGAAGTGGGAAAAAAGGCAGAAGCTGCCCACTTCGTTTCATGAAGCAAATATAATCTTGATCCCCCAGACCTGATAAAAAGCAATAGAGCAAAAGAATTGTTACAGGCCCATTTCATTGTGAGCACATTACGCAAAGTTCCCAAATATAAGCTTGTAAAATCCAACTGTGAATTGGGGAAATAATATAATCATGGGGACTTATCCCAGGAATATAAAAGTGGTTCGACATCAGAAAAAAAACTAAAAACAAAAATCATATGATCTCAATGGATGTGAGAAAAAGTATGTGAAACAGTTCAATACCTACATATGATTAAAAATTATACTGTTACCATCCTAGAAAAACTTAACTTTATAAGACAGAGGAAAAAAACACACTAAATATTTTATGTAATAAAGCTATAGGGGCATTCTCCCTAGGATTTAGGATAAGACTGGTACATATGCTGTCATTGTCACAATACTGCGAGTCTTGGACAACGGAAGAGGAATGGAAAGAAGTGAAAAGAATGGGAAGAGAAGAGATAGAGGCATCACTGCAGATGAAATGATTGTTTCCCTCGAAAATTCAACAGGATCTAATTAGAACCTATTAGACCCAAGAATTCAGCAAGGCTGCCAGATGTAAAGTCAACCTGCTAAAATTAATTCCCTTCTCCAGATTAGTAGTCCTCAAAACTTTGAGTCTCAGAACTCAGGACACTCTTAAAAATCCAGATCCCAAAGCACTATTGATTAGGTGGGTTATATCTACCAATATTTACCATTCTAGAAATAAAGGAAATTTATAAAACATTCATGCTTAAAAAGAACACTAGTAAGTCTATTATCTGTCAACCTAATATAGCATTTATGAAAAAAAATTTGCCCATTTCTCTAACAGCAGCCCTAATAGAAGACAGCTGGATTCTCTCTCATACGCGCTTCCGCACTGAGTCTCTTGGCGGTATGTGACTTTGAATGATGCGTATGAAAAAAATTCTGGCTTCACACTGATATGAGGAATATCTCAACAGTCTTTTCAGGCAGTTGTGGTTTTTCCTCTGTGATATTACACCAAAACTTGACAAGAGAGAGTTTCTTACAGGTTAGTTGCAATGTGGAATCACAAAGCGTATCAATAGGCTTCCATACTATTACATTAAATTGAGTTGGCTTATCAGGCACTTTGAATAGTTTCACCATGCATGATTTTTTAACACCATATACTAATCATTTAGAAACTATTGATCCACTGAGGTATGATTTCCTTAGTGTTAGCAAGTATTATATCAAAAAATCACCCTTGTTAATTTCCCTGTCTCATCAGAAAAATCTTAAAAGTCTTGGGAAGCTGTCAAGCTCACTGACAGAAGTTTTCTAAAATTCCAGTTCTTCTTGAGAGCTCTAATTTCATCATTGGCAGTAAATACTGCCTATTTTTCTTAAAGTGACAGGTTTACTTCATTTTTCAGAAAAAGTCTGCCACATACTAACCCTAAATAACTCTACTTTGCTTGCCAGTAATTTTCAGCTAAAAATGTTTCTCTTTGAAAAGAAGAAGTTCAGTGTCAGACTCACACACTTTTCCTTTAGATAGTCATTGTACTTCAGTATAGAGAAGTGCTTTCTGCAAACTTCTCATTTTGTCAGAGATATTTTTAAAAATATATACTCAAGAGCAGAGATTCAATAAAATTAATTTTTACTGTTTCATCAAGGACATTACATAAAATGGCTTTTTTTTTCCTGTGGATCCATGGTGGTAA